AAAACAGTACGTATGGGCAATTACTTCGGCCCCTATAGTGAACCGACAACCGAACCAGGAGCAGGAGGGAGATGGGGCTCTCCACGAAGCCTCTCATGGTAGCCTGAGATCCTACGCCCAGAAAGCCTCCCTAGCAAGGAAGCCGCAGAGCTGGTGACCCTGAAAATCCGGCTTCTGGGGCTGTGGGTTTAGGGTTCAAGGGTTCAAGGAACTAGGTTCTTCAGTTACCCCCGGATAATGAGGGTACTCTTTTCCCGACTATATGCAGTTTTGACCGGGAGACCCTAAGCTACAAAGGGCAAAGGGACTACTCAGGAACCTAGACAGCCATGACAGAAAGGCTTCTTGGGGTTTCAGGTAGGGTTTAGGCTTCAGTGTGTGTAGTGAAGGGTTTAGGATTTCAAGTTTAGGATTTGGGGCCTAAGTCTGGGGTGGAGGGCGACTGCTGATAGGTGAACCAAACAATACGGAGTTTGGAAGGAAACCTGGAAACTGAACGAACAGAACAAGAACAAGCATGCACCCGAGCCTGATCCCAGCAGAACGCAAACAGCTAGCGGCCCCAAACCTGGAAACCCAGACCCTAAACCCTAAACCCTAAAATCTGAAGCCCTAGCCCTAGACCCTAAACCAACATAAACTCTGAGCCCAAGGCTTGCCATCTACCACAGGTCCCATGTGGAACCAGCCGACAGGCTTGAAGAAGTCGAACCTTAGGTGCGATTGAAGGGACTAGGGTTCAGGTTTAGGTTTTAAGGGGTTTGGGGTGTAGGGTTTAGGGGTTTAGGGTTTAAGGTTGTGCGCTTGAAGGGACTGAGCTTGGAGGGTTCATTCAAAGACTTTCCTTGGAGGGCTCCTTTAAAGGGTCCCTTTACTTTAAAGAGTGCCTTCAAGGGTCCTTTTTAAAGGAGTTCCGGTTCCTTGGGGTTCCTGGCACCGGGGCTTGGGAAGGCCTCGTTCGATTGATTGTGAACGCAGGCTTCCGGGATTTGGGAGTTTCCGAAAACTAGGGTTTGCCATTTTGTGGGGTGCTCATAACAAGGATCCTACCATTTAGGGTACTATATTAGGGTCCCCTATCTTCGGAAACTCCCATTTCTGTTCATTGCATGCTTCCGCTGTGGTGACTTCGGGCATCGGGGACGGATTTCGACACACAGCAAAGCCTGGCTGCCGCCGTCTGCAACCTCAACAGGTATGGGAGTTTCCGAAAATTCGGGGTACCGTACTTTGGGGTCCTTGCAATAAGGATACCACTATTTAAGATCCCATATTAGGGTCCCCCATGTTCGGAAACTCTTATACTCTGGAACTCAAAGAGGCGATCCGAATCTTAAGCCGAAAACTTCCCTTTGAACTATGCGGGAGTTTCCGAAAATGAGGGACACCGTATTCGGGGGTCCGTAGAATAGGCATCCTACTTTTTAGGGTACTATGTTAGGGCCCCCTATTTTGGGAATCTCCCATGCAACCTAGAGCCCTAAGGCTTGGCCTGCCGGGTTTGTCGTAGGTGTTGAAACCCACAAGGAATAACTATTTTTCAGGTAGTAGTAATCGTAGTCACAAACGGAGATGGGGCACCTTGTAATACTCGATTCCTCGGCAGCCCCTTGATAATAAGGGTTCTCTTTTCCCTACTACATACTCAGTTTTAATAAGGAAACCCTAAACCAAAAAGAGCAAAAAGGCACATAGATTTAAGCAGAACCCGACTAAGATGCCAAGGACACGGCCGGTGAAGGATGCAGGAGGCGCGATGCGAGTGATGCGGGAGCGGCGCATCCTCGGGTGAGTTGACTCTTTAGGGTTTAGGGTTTAAGGTAAAAGCCAGAAAGTTGGAATATGATTATCCTAACCCTTCTATGGTAAATTATAGGGTATCCTACCATGAAACCATATTCCAACTTTCTGGAGTTCCCTGTAGGGCTCGGACCTCCTGTCTGATCTATTCCCAGAGAGCCCACCCAATACCCCTTAATTAAGGAATATCGCTGAAATCATAGTATAAAGCCCTATAAAATTTAAGCCATCTTCCTTAATTAAGGGGTATTGGGCTCTCCGGGTTGAGACAAAGATCGAACCCGTAAAGGGTTTAGGGTTCAGGGGTTTGGGGTTTTAGGCAGACAAGAACCTGAACCGTAAGCCGCAGTTTGCAGTTTAGGGCTTAAGGCTTAGACGATGAGATTCGCTTTCAATTTTTTTGGGCTTAGCCACATATCCAGCACTACTCTCTGAGGCTTATTTAGGGCTTAGGCCGATATCTGAGGCTTGCTTTCGTCCGGGTAGAAGTGACTAGGCCTTGGCTCCGGTCTTACGGCGCTCCCTCAACCGTCCCGAAACCTTAAACCCTGTACGCCCCTAGGGGGCTGAAGACTGCGACAAGAAGGCCACAGCCCTTCAGGGATCTATAAGGGCTCTGTAAAGGGTTGAGGGTTAAGAGTTTCCGAAAATTAGGGGGTAGCTTGTTTTGGGGGGCCCTCATTGTAAGGATCCTACTATTTAGGGTACCCTATCAGGGTCCCCTCTTCTCGGAAACTCCCATACGTGCTTGTCGGTCGGGGGTTCCGGCTTCCTACACGACCATGGAACGCATCCTTTCGAAAGAACACTACCTATAGGGTCATACCCTACCTCCTTTTAAGGTACCGAAGTTCCTGGTTACGATCTGCTAGATAGAACAGTGGCGCCGACGAGGCATGAAGCCCTGTGCCCCTAAACCCTAAACCCTACACCATCAACCCATAGTCCCCGAAACCTAAACCCTCAAACACGTCAACCGCTTGGCGCCAGTTCAGGAGGGAGGTTTCTTGAATTTCTGCAGGCCTATGAAACCCTTCCCAGATAGCCACAAGAGCTTAGGCTTTGTAGGGTTCGGGCTCCTAAATCTACAGTGAACCCCAGAAAGTTGGAACATGGCTTAAGGATGATTTGTGCTGGGTTTCTCTATACTTTACCTCAAGGGCAGGCGGATAATGATGTTCCAACTGTCTGGATTCTACTAAAACCCTGAAGCCCTACAACCATCCTCTAATCATTAAGGCCCCTATAGTCAACCCTCAGACCCTACAACCCAGAAATTTCGCATCTTGAAACCCTCAAAACACTCAAACCCTAAACCCCTAAACCCCTAGAAGCACTAAACCCCCAAACCCTGTAAACCAAAACCCTACAACCATGGAAAATTCGCATCTTTTCTCCGGATCCCTCTCTAAGATCGCCTTACAGGCCATCTCGGATGCAACGAGACGTGAGGGCTCGTTTTCATGGGAGTCTGGACAGCTCTCAACAGCATTCCTTGGGCTTTCTTGGGGATTAAGCTGCCTTTGGGTTTAGGGGTTACAGTAGAAGCCAGAAAGTTGGAATATCATTATCGTAACCCCCTTTCAGGTAGATTCTAGGGGATCCTACCATTAATTCATATTCCAACATTCTGGAGTTCCCTTTACGGGGTTCAGGGGTTGGGGTGTGTTGGGGAGTAAGGTTCAGGGGTTCAAGGTTTTTCTAAAGGCACGTCGGACTTTTCGCTCGCCCTTGCCCACCTTCAGAGGTTCAGGGTTTAGGGTTTCGGGGTTCAGGGTCTGGGGGTTGTATAAGGCCACTAGAAGGCTATTGGCTTTTGAAAAACGACCGATCACCTGTACTCCTTAAGGGTTCCGTAGTACATATGTGTTGCCCTTGTACGGGTGACGGGGGTCTGAATACTTAGTCTATAGTGGGTTTCTTTAGGGCTCCTGAATATGAATGAACACTCTAAAGATCTAACAAACACTTGTAAAATCACTACATATGTTCGTAGAAGACCCGCACCAAACCCCTTGAAACCCGTACAAATCCCTTATGAACCGTTATAGAGGTCTCCGGCAAACACCTCACAACAAAAGTTCTAAGTCCTAAACCCTATAGAGGCACCTCACTCCGCTTTGTAACAGCCCCTCACAGGCTTTGGTCTCACAATGCGCTTGCTTGGCCTCGCTTTCGGCGGTTCTTGCAAAGGATTTATGGAGGCGCAGCGGCGTGAATTTTGGGCCCGGGATCTTTCGGTGCAGGGGTGTAGGGTGGGGTTCAGGGGGAGTTATGTGGGGTTTTCGGTCCTCTAATATGGGTTATATATAAGTATAGTTACCCTACTTATGACCCTACGTATAACTACCCCTGAACCTCCAAGTAGGGTGGGGTTCAGGGCTTGGCGTGCAGTGTTCACCGTTCACTGTTGTACTTGGAGGATCATGGGACTTAGTAATTATAGTTAAAAGTCCCTTTATTGGGGTTATACATAATTACTTATAAGTATAGTTACCCCAATAACGACCTAGTTACTAAGTCCCATGATCCTTTAAGTACGGCTGAGGTTCGGGGTGAGGAGTTGCAGGAAATAAGGGTGTCTCGCCCCGCACACTGACCTTTGGTACCGGATCAAACGAGCATACGCTAACAGCCGATATAATGTAAGACCATGACAAAACCCTATAAAACCCTAAGCCCTATAAAACTCTAGCAAACCTTCCAGAGCACTCCACAATCCTGCAAAGCCCTATAAAGCCCTGTCAATCAAACCCCTAGAAGTCGCTACGGCCTCTACAGCCCTATAAACCCTCATACGGCCCTACAACGCCCTAAAAAAATTCACAAAGCCCTAGCAAGCCCTACAAAGCCCCCATGAATGAAGCCCCAAATCCCCAACCCTACAGTCTAAAGAAAAAAAGCCCCAAACCCAGCAACCTCAGAGCCGAAACCCTGAAGTCCGAAACCTTGCACTAGGAGGTGCATTTAAAGCCTTTGTAAAATCTTAGTAGGTAAGATCCTCTGAAGCCCGATAAGAGCAATTATAGCCAATGATAACATGTCCCAAAGCCCTACCTATACTGAATTTAGAACCCTTCCAAAAATTGTAATTTTAGCTGTTTCTTAGGGATTATAATAACCAAAAATTACAAGTTATTTCTAAGTACCCCAAAACTACCTAGTACAGAAGCCCTCCATGCCATGCCAGGATGCCCAGCTCAGATGTTGCTGTAGCACCGAGGAGGCTTTTGATCACCTTCGACTCCGAGCATGCTCCCTTTCTCTCTTCGGAGTATGGGGCTTTTGGGGCTTTGGAGCTTTTTGGAGCTTTTTGGTGCTGTTTGGGGTTTAGGGTTTAGGGTTTGGGGTTTGGGGCTTGGGCTTCGGAGTCTATCCATCTTCGGAGATAGGATCTGGGGTTTAGGGTGTTGGCTTATAAGGCTTACGGTTCGGGGCTTTACGGAGTCGGTTTACCAATGTACTTAATGCTTAGAACTGGGACTTGGGTGTGTTATACTGTAGCTGTACACGAACTATACGGGAACATTGTTTCTCAACTGTATGTTAACATCACGTTATCCTTGAACCTAAAACATCAGAATTACTGTATAGCATATCTCTGTATTTCTCTATGGCTCTATCTATATATGTGTGTGTCCTGTACCTGTACTTAGATGTTTGTCTGTAGATATATATACACATATATATATATGTATGCAAACATACACACCTACTCCGGGTTGTGGAATGGTAGAGTCTCTCGACGGTTTGTTGGGTGGCCCTCGACCGCAAACCCCTGAACCCCAAACCCAAAGCCGCTGTAGTGGTCTGCTTTTGGTCTGCTCCCTGAGCTTCACTGTTGAGGGCCCATGTTTGTCAAAGTATGAAACTGATGGCCTGAAGACCTAGAAAACTTCCTGTTCATGTGCATCTACTCGTGTTTTTACGCAAGGTCCAGGGCCCTTAAGATTGGCCTTTGGGGCTTTGGGATGTGGTGCCCAGTGACCTAAACCCTAAACCTTAAACCCCAAACCCCAAAACCCTAAACCCTAAACCATGGGCCGCCCGCGCCAGGCGGCGGCCGGTACCACTGAACGCTACCGCTTCGAGATCTGCTTGCTTTGCCAAGCAGATCGAGTCTTCCATACCTGATTTGGCAATGCTGGCCATGGGGCACCGTATATAATGGAGTTACCCTTAACCCCTAGCGCGCGACCCCGGCGGGCCTCCTTACGGGACTCCCTTGCGGGACGGAAAGGCATGGGACGGGGGGCGCTTACGGGACGAGCGTCCTTACGGGACGGAGGCGCTTACGGGACGGAGGCGCTTAGGCGCTTACGGGACGAGCCTCCTTACCCAGAGACTCCAATATCCGACGAGCCTCCTTACGGGACGGAGGCGCTTACGGGACCCGGGACGAGCGTCCTTACGGGACGGAGGCGGAAGAACCTCCTTTTGCGGGACGGAGGCGCTTACGGGACGAGCGTCCTTCTGGGACGAGGGCGCTTATACGGGACGAGCCTCTTTACGGGACGGAGGCGCTTACGGGACGAGCCTCCTCACAGGACTCCTTTTGCGGGACGGAGGCGCTTAGGGGACGAGCGTCCTCACGGGACGGAGGCGTTTACGGGACGCGCCCCTTGCGGGACGGAGGCGCTTATACGGGACGAGCCTTACACGGACTTCTTTTTACGGCACGGAGGCGCTTACGGGACGAGCATCCTTACGGGACGGAGACGCTGACGCGCCTCCTTGCGCCACTTCTTATTATACGCGGGACGGAGGCGCTTACAGGCCTTACGGGACGGAGGCGCTTACGGGACGAGCCTCACGGGACGGAGGCGCTTACGGGACGAGCCTCTTTACGGGACTTCCTTTTGCGGGACGGAGGCGCTTACGGGACGAGCGTCCTTACGGGACGGAGGCGCTTACGTGACAAACGTCCTTACGGAATCTTACGGAGGGAGGGCTCACGGGACGAGCCCCCACGGCACGGAGGCGCTTACGGAACGAGTCCCTTGCGGGACAAGAGCGCTTACGGGACGAGCGTCTTTACGGGACGGAGAGGCATGGGACGGGGGGCGCTTACGGGACGAGCGTCCTTACGGGACGGAGGCGCTTACGGGACGGAGGCGCGCTTAGGCGCTTACGGGACGAGCCTCCTTATGCCTCCTTACAGGACGCCTCTTTACAGCGGGAGGTGCTTACAGGACGAGCGTCCTTACGGGACGGAGGCGCTTACGGGACGAGCCTCGTTTTGCGGGACAAGGCGCTTACAGGACGAGCGTCCTTACGGGACGGAGGCGCTTACAGGACAAGCCTCCTTATATGCGGGACGGAGGCGCTTACGGGACGACCCTCCTTACCGGACGGAGGCGGAAGAGCCTCCTTTTGCGGGACGGAGGCGCTTATACGGGACGAGCGTCCTCACGGGACGGAGGCGGGACGGAGGCGCTTACAGGGCGAGCCTTACACGGACTTCTTTTTACCTAGAGACTCCAATATCCCTTAATTAAGGAATCTTCCTTAAATCATATTAGGGGTCCTACCATAATTTAAGGAATATTCCCTAATTAAAGGATATTGGACTCTCTGGCCGGTACGGCACGGAGGCGCTTACGAGACAAGCGTCCTTACGGGACGGAGACGCTGACGAGCCTCCTTACGCGACTTCTTTTTTGCGGGACGGAGGCGCTTACAGGCCTTACGGGACGGAGGCGCTTACGGGACGAACCTCACGGGACGGAGGCGCTTACGGGACGAGCCTCTTTACGGGACTTCCTTTTTGCGGGACGGAGGCGCTTACGGGACGAGCGTCCTTACGGGACAGAGGCGCTTACGGGACGAGCCTCTTTACGGGACGCAGGCGCTTACGGGACGAATCTCCTTACGGGATGGAGGCGCTTACGGAACGAGCCTCCATACGGAGAGGCGCTTGCGAACGAGCCTCGAGACTCGTGTATTACGAGACGGAGTGCGCCTATACGAGACGAGCATCCTTACGCACTCGTTTGCTTCGTCGACCGTCCTTCTCTCTGAAGAATGTGCTGACGACGGGACGACGCTTACGGGACGAGCGTCCTTACGGGACGGAGGCGCTTACGGGACGATCCTCTTTGCGGGACGGAGGCGCTTGCGACGATACGGGACTTCTTTTTACGGGACGGAGGCGCTTACGGGACGGGCGTCCTTACGTGACGGAGGCGCTTACGGGACGAGTCTCCTTACGGGACGGAGGCGCTGACTGGGCCTCTTTACGGGACGGAGGCGCTTATACGGGACGAATCTCCTTACGGGACGGAGGCACTTACGGGACGAGCCTCCGGCGGAGACGGTCACGGGACCTTACGGGACTTCTTTTACGGGACGGAGACGCTCACGGGACGAGCGTCCTTACGGGACGGAGGCGCTTGCGAACGAGCCTCGAGACTCGTGTATTACGAGTCGGAGGGCGCCTACGAGACGAGCATCCTTACGCACTCGTTTGCTTCGTCGTCCTTCTCTCTGAAGAATATGCTGACGACGGGACGACCCGTACGGGACAAGCGTCCCTACGGGACGGAGGCGCTTACGGGACGATCCTCTTTGCGGGACGGAGGCGCTTGCGACGAGCCTCCATATACGGGACTTCTTTTTACGGGACGGAGGCGCTTACGGGACGAGGCTCCTTACGGGACGGAGGCGCTTACGGGACGAGTCCCTTACGGGACTTCTTTTTACAGGAAGGAGGCGCTTACGGGACGAGTAACTTACGGGTGGAGGCGCTTACGGGACGAGCCGCCTTACAGAACGGAGGCGCTCTCGAGAAGCTCCGGGATAACGGCGAGCATCTCGACAGGGCAAACGGGGGCGGGGGGCTTTTCTCCAGGAGCCGGCGGCGCTTCAGGGCTGGCGTAACTGTGACGGGACCAGAGACCAGCGCAGCTTCTGCCTCATCTTCGATGTCACTTGGATCGTAGTCCACCTCACTTAAGCAGTCTTCAGGCTAAGCGACCACTGCTCCTGCGCCGTGCCCTGATTCCACGACATCCTCGGCAAAGGCGAGGTAAATGCCGAGCTGCTGCAAGTGTGCTGCTCGTTCTGGCACAGGAAGCCTCTGCGAACGACGCATATTTTGCGAGGACTGATGCTTACGTATATCTTGTTGACCGTGTTGTCTTGAGTCTAGAAATCTTGGATTCACGACATGCACAACACGGCGGATGCAGGGATCAAACACCGGGACATGTGTTATGCTGATCAACACAAAGACCCCATTGCAGCCTGGCGAAGGGCTTCAAATCCCGGACCAGATTTCTGGGCAGCTTGGTCGGCAAGCCGTTGAGGTCCGAGGTCCAGGACTTGGGGTACAGCTTGGTGACGGCTGCACCTTCCACCCCGACCAGGACCGCCGGCGGCTCCGCTCCAGGTGTCGCAAGGCCCTCCCAAAAGGAGTCATCATGTTGTTGGCCACCCCAGCACTAACGCTCCCCTTTCTTTGAGAAATATGACAAGTGGACACAATAGCTCGGGCCGGTGTGTGAGTCGACTGAGGAGCCTAATATTAGTGTTGCTCGCTCCGACTTGTGCAAGAACTCGAAGTATCCCGCGCGCCTGCACTTGGCCCGGGCGAAAGCCTCGTGGACGTGCTCGGCCTGGGTAACCGTTCAGGCTCGCTTGCTCGATTTTCCAGATTGTCCCAACTGACTGCAGTGGTGCAGCAAACTGAAAATGTTCTAAACCCGCGATAAAATTACTTCGGGTGGTTGGGGTGGGATCCGCTGCACTGAAGCGGCCCGACTGGCACGGGGTCGGGACGCGGCACTGAAACACACCCTAAACCCTAAACCCTAAACCGTGGGCCTTTGGGGCTTTGGGATGTGGTGCCCAGTGATGCATGGGCAGCTCATTCGGCTTCCTGCTTGGTACCATCGGGACGGGCAAAACCCCTCCCCTCTGTGGCAGCGTGGATCTCGGTTCCAGGCAAATTAGCATGTAAGGTTTAGGGTTTCAGCGCTTCGGGTTTAGGGTTTTGGGTGGTTTTGGGTCTAGGAGTTCGGGGTTTTGGGTTTTGGGGTGTATGGTTTACGGGATTCGGGGTTTAGGCGGTTTAGGGATTGGTAATTAAGTCTGGCATTGAAGGTTTAACGTCTAAAGGGAACTCCAGAAAGTTGGAATATGGTTTCAGGGTGGGATACCCTATAATTTACCATAAAGGGATTAGGATAATCATATTCCAACTTTCTGGCTTTTGCCTTAGGGCCCAGGGGTCCCCTGCACTTCAGGAGCAACGAGGGCTCTCGAGCCCAAACAAGGTACTTGGAGGTTCCATGGGTAGCTATAGGTAGGGTTCCTTTACGGGTTCTGTAGGGTTTAGGGTTTAGGGTGGTTATAAGTAGGGTTCCTTTGAAGGGATCTATAAGGGTTATAGGGTTTAGGGATTAGGGTTTAGAGGTTAGGGTAGTTAAGTAGGGTTATAAGCAGGGTAACTATGCTTATAACCCATATTAGGGGAGTTAGAACCCCTAATATAACTACCCCTGAACCTCCAAGTAAACCCTAAACCCTATACCCTTGTAGACTCCCTATAGATCCCTTTAAAGGGACCCTTAAAGGAACCCTTATAACTACCCCTGAACCTCCAAGTAATCCAAACCAAGAGAACCCTAAACCCTACACCCCCAAACCCTAAACCCTACAGGAGCTTTGGGCGGCTTGTGGCTTTGTGGCGGTCGTGAGGGGTTTAGATGAAAACGGCCTGCCCTCGCCTTAGGCTGGGGGTTCTCGTGAGTAAAACAGAACCTGAAAACCCCAATTCAAGAAACTCTACTTAAAGGATCATGGGACTTGGTAACTAGGGTTATACGTAAGGTAACTATAGTTGTATCTAACTTATAACCCCAATGAAGGTACTGATAACCCTACTTACTAAGTCCCATGATCCTCCGAGTAATGTCGAATGGGGCAGGGTTCAGGGTTAATGCCAAATCTAAACCCCAATGCATAAACGTCAAATCGAAGCTCGTACCCTTATGGACACTTAAAGAACCTTGTGATGTACCCTTGGCAGAACCCTTACATGTAACCCTTAGCGAAATCGTCTTCGTGCCTTCTGCCGTCTCTGCTTCCCGGGGAAGTCCCGCACGGATACGGCTGTCTCTGGCCGCTGCCGCTGCGAACTGACCGGGGTTTAGCGTTTGGGGTCTAGGGGTTTAGGGTTTAGGGTTCAGGGTTAAGGTCTGGGGTTTAGGATACGTTGAGCTCCTGGGATTTCAGGTTGGCTCTGGTCCTGGCAGAAAGCCTTCAGGAAACCCCGCCCAAAACCCCAAAACCCTAAACCTGAACTCTAAACCCTAAGCCCTACACCCGAACCCCTTTCCCGTATGAACCAACCTTAAACTCTAAACTCTAAACCCTGAAACCTTTTTCTCCTTGAAAAACCCTACCACCCTGCCCCAAGCCCCTAGAACCCGAAACTCTAAACCCTAAACCACCTTTCCCCTTGTAAATCCTTTCCCCTAAACCCTAAACCTTTGCTGAACCTAGAATCTTAGAACCCTAGCAAATAAATATAATTTTAGCTCTTTCTTAGGGATTATAATCACCAAAAATATAAAAATATATCTCTAAGGACCCCCACGAAACCTTGCCCAAAGCCCTTTGTCACCGCTTAGGCCGACCTCCTTGGCCTTGGCAGACAGCGCGTTGGAGGCCTCGGCTCAAGCTGCGGCATTTTTGGGGCTTTAGGGTTTAGGGTTTAGGGTTTAGGGTACCCTGTAATAGTGACTATAAGGATTATATATTAGGGCCCTCTTATATTCCTATTATACCACTATTGCAGGGTGGGGGCCCCTTCTAAGGTCTAGGGGTTTAGGAGTGTAGGGTTTAGTGTTTGGGGTTTAGGGTTCTAGGGCATTTAAAAGTGGTTGTATCAGGGTTTCATAAGGGCTGTATGAGGGTTCTTGTAAGGAGTGTTACAAAATGTGCATTTGGTGGTTGTAGAATCATTCTACGGGTTGTTTACAATCAATCTTTGTGAGGGTCTTATAAGATTGACAGGGTTTTCGAGGATGTTCAAGGAGGGCACGCTTGTTCCTTCCTACTAGTCGGCTTTAACAGAAGCCCACAAAACAAAAGTGTAAAAGGATACGGGTGGTTGTCAAAATTAGGGTCCCTTTTTGGGTACCCTAAATAATAGGTGCCGTATTATTATAGGCACCCAAAAAGGCGCCATCATGTTGACAACCACTCATATGACTGGGAGACCTCGTTAGGGCGCCGAGTGAGGGAACAACGCTCTCATAAATTGCAACCACCATTCGCAACCGTAAGGTTTAGGGTTTAGGGTTTAGCGTTTAGTGTACCCTGAGTTTGGCGCTACATCTTGACTGGCCGTGATGAAAGTCTTGGGCTCTGAGGAATGGGGCCCTGCATAGTCGGACGAGGGTTTTGGCACCCCCGTTGTACTATGATGATAGTAAGGAGCACCCAAACTAGTGATCGGCCGCAGAAATGGCTGGTCAAACTGTCCGATTCCAGCTAAACTATAAGAGCCCAAAAAGTTTAAAGGTTAGGTATTGGGGATACATCAAACCCCAACCCTTAACACCTGACGTCACCCTTGAACGAAATCCTAAACCCGGGAGCCCTCAATCCTAAACCCTAAATCCTAATCCCTAAACCCTAACTCCCAAACCCTATAAACCCTATAAACCCTATAAACCCTAAACCCTAAATCCTAAGCCCTAAATCCTAAACCCGAAACCCTGAATCCTAAACCCAAAACCCTAAATCCTAAACCCTAAATCCTAAACCCTAAATCCTAAGCCGCGCCTGGTGTCGCAAGAGTCGGAGATGCAGCGCCGGGTCGAGCTCCGCACGCAAGTCGGAGAGCATCCTTCGGACCACCTACCAGCAGCTCAAGGCTTTAGGATCAAGGCGTTAGGGTTTGGGGTTTATAGGGTTTCGGGTTTATAGGGATTAGGGTTTAGGCTTTAGGATTTAAGTGTTAGGGGTTAGGGTTTATAGGGTTTGGGGTTTAGGCTTTAGGATTCATAAGGTGTTGGGGGTTTGGGTTTATACAGGGTTTAGGGTTGAGGCTTTGGGATTAAGGCGCTAGAGCTTTGTGTTTATATAGGGTGTAGGCTTGATGATTAAGGTGCCGGGGGGTTGGGGTTTATAGGGTTCAGGGTTTCCGTAGATCCAACTAAACTAAAAGGCTTCATGAGATTCTGGCCTCATGATCTGTACGTACGCATATGATGGTTGAAACTTATCTCGAAACCCTCTTCCATGTATTCGGCAGCCGCAGAAGGTAATATTACCTAAGAAACTCGTAAACCCCACACCCTTAATACTAACATAATCAACCCCCAATCGGAAGGATCAACTCGAAACCCTTTGGAGGCTAGTAGGTTTCCGGACTCATTTATCAACCCGTGCCCTTCTGGAATGGTCAAGTGAGGGCAAGCGTAGCGGGCATCGACCCATGCGTGCATCAGCTGGCGAGTGGCATCTGCAGGTTGCTTTACTCGATGAAGGACCCCTTGGCCGAACACAGGAAGCGGAGGGTCGCCTTGTATCAAGCGGTTGTGGCCATGCACTGCCCACCGAGCTGCCAACGGCCACCAGTGTACTGGTAGATCTGCCGACTTACTTATGGTTCGAACCCTGGTTTTCAGCCAGCCCACAGTTCGTTCCGCTAACCCGTTCGCCTTTTTGTCCGTTGGCAAAGAGTGTTGGAACCTGATGCTCTGTGATGCCACCCACGCTATCATAGCGTTGGACGTGAACTCAGTTGCCAAATCCGAGTGAATCTCTCTCACTGGATACTTCCTTATGATTGCACTGACGGACTGCTGTAGGGAGGGTAATGTAGGAACCTGAATAAGAAAACCCGGGTCCTTGTTAGCGTTCATTCTGGGGTTGTCGGCCCAGCGTTTCTTAATCAGGTTCCTACATTAATACGCTGGACGCCGGGGGTCATCAGACACTAAGCTGGAGGGGACTGGGGTTGGAGGCAGGGAGGGTTTCTTGATGTGGAGCGCCAAAGCCATAAACCCTAAATCCCGCAGCCTAAAACCTAAAAGCGCAAGGGTCAAGGGTTTATGCCTTAGGAAGGGTCGTGGGATTTGTGCAAAATCAGCATCGAACTCGGAATAGCGGTATGCGCCGTACCTTTTGAGACCCTAGACCGCCCGAACCCCTTAAGAAAAGTTGCCAAACAAGTAACAGCCACTATCACCTACCCAGACCCTCGGGAGGATCCAATAAGTAGATCCCTTAATGGCGGTTCCTACTAGTATAAAGTACCGTTAGTAGTATAGGGCCCCAAATTTTGGGATATACTTTCTATATCCTCCCGGGGGTCTGGGTACTCAATATAATTCTGTAACCCCTACAGCCAGCTTGTTAGCCCTTTAAAATGCTCAGAAAGCCCTCTGCAATACCTTACGGACCCAAAGCCATCCCAGTGCTTGAGGGCTTGGGGGTATTCCAAAACCCCAACCCCAAAACCCCTAAACTCTAAACCCTTGAACCCTAAACCCCCAAATTCTAAACCCTCACCCTTGGCCCCTTGTCCGAATCCTTAATCTCCACACCTGAAAACCGAAAGTCTGACACCAAACCACCACAAGGGGCCTAGACCCACCGGAGAGCCCTGAAGCCCTACAAACCTACAACCCTGAGCCTCTAAAACCTCAACTCTAAACCCTCAAGCCCTATACCCTAAACCCTAAACCCTGAGCCCTAAGCCCTAAACCCCAAACCCTAAACCCTGAGCCCTAAGCCCTATACCCTAAACCCTAAACCCTGAGCCCTAAACCCCTAAGCCCTAAACCCCTAAGCCCAAGAACCACCTCTCCGAGCGTCATGGTCAAGCACTGGTCCTCATCGCCCTGCCATTCGTTCACCTCAACCAGGCTTCTAACTGACTCAGGGCCGGTTCGGCGATGTCTAGCGTTTAAGGTTTAGGGTTTAGGGGTTTAGGGTTTAGGGTTTAGGGGTTTAGGGGTTTAGGGTACAGGGTTTAGGGTTTAGGGTTTAGTGTTTGGGGTTTAGGGGTTTAGGGTTTAGGGTTAAGGTAGGGTTAAGGGTTGAGGATGCGATTCAGGTTTAGGGGGTCGAAGCCCCGGAACACCAGAACGCACGACTCCAGTTCCCGGTGGCGCTGTGTCGTTTGGTGTCTTAGCATTCAGAAGGCCAGGGCATAGGCTTCTAGGATCTAGCATATCGGGTTTGGGTTTTGGGGCTTTGGGGATCTATAACACAGAAAAAACGGAGTTTCGGAACTGAGGATGTAGGCCTTCGGGAGAAGCCTGCTCAAAAAGAAACATAACATAGAGGTTAGAAGGGGCCCCCACCCTGTAATAGTGACCATAAGGATTATATAGGATTATATTAGGGCCCTATTATATTCCTATTATACCACTATTACAGGGTGGGGGCAGCTTCTAACATAGAGGTTAATGGTTTTGGGGTGTCCAGCTTCGGGATAACGGTGTCGCTTCTCTCCAAAAGCTTCCTTCCTACTCAGAAAGCCCCTGACACCTCACTAGCGGTTACATCCAGCTTCATTGCTACCCACATGAAACATTTTAAACTCTTCTGATGCCTACTCCCCACAAATCCCCAAATCCTACACCCTAAACTCCTAACCCTAAACACCAAATCCCGAACCCTCTTGTGGGATACGTTGTTGTTCAGAGTCTCTCTCTAGCAAGACAGCAAGAGTTGATTCATGGTTGTACGGTAGGGTACTTGGAGGTTCAGGGGTACTGATAAGTGGGTAATAAGTCCCCCCAATATGGGCTATAAGTATAGTTACCCTTCTTATAACCCTACTTATAACTACCCATGAACCTCCAAGCATGCTTTGGCTTTTTGAGCTTAAATGTTGAAGCGCTACGGGTAGGTCTCCACGCCCCTCGCCCCAGAGACGCTTTGCAGCATCTCCGGCATGTCTTGGACAGTGAGACAGTGATTCTACGACTCATGATATACTACTAGTAGTCCTTATGATACGCCTTCATAGTAGTCCTTGTAACCAGCCCCTTATAATAAGTAGCCTTTTTCGCAGCCCTGCATGCATTACGAGTGCTCTTGTTGCCACCGCTAGTTGAGGCATGTTGAGGCCTCGGTAGTGTTGAAATTCAAGCCTAAATGATGCTAAACCCTGAGACAAGGATCATCAAAGATCCATAGCTCCTTATGACTGATTGGGAGTTTCCGAAAAGTAGTGGTACCCTATTTTGGGGTCCATATAAAAAGGATCCTACTATTTAGGGTACTATTTTAGGGTCCCCTATTTCTGGAAACTCCCAATCGAAAAACGCTTCCGACCCGCCCTGGTGGGCCTGCCTCTCGGAAGAGTCGCGTGCTCCGAAAGCTCACTTTATTGCTCTGGGCCCCTACTAGGCTCCAAAAACAACAGAATTCACCGTCTAGGTAAGTACCACTGCAGACCCTGAACGTCTAGACCCGGCAACTCCTCTAAAAAAGGCAAGCTCAAAGCTGGATACATGCCCCTGAAACAAACTGACCCCTGATGCTACCCTCAACCATGCCCCCTTCCCCACCCTAAACCCTAAACCCTACAGCCCTATCCTAAACCGACCCACTCTCGAGACCCCTGAACCCGCACTGCCTTTACATACATGCTGTTCCTGCCGCCCATCGGGCGGCGGTTGAAGTGGCCGATGCGGATCTTGGCGCGTGCGTGTTCTGCTTCGCACGTAAGGTCCATGGTGTAGGGATTGAAGTGGAGGGATGAAAGCGTCAGGAACAGGAGTAGGGTTTAGGATTTTTTCGGGGTTTAGGGAGTATACCTGCTTGTGCTGTACTTCTTATGACTTGTAACAAGGAGCCTCAAAAGAGTGGTGGAAATGATTTCGGAGCCCCAGTTATAGACTGTATGCCGTGGGTCATTGTCTTGGGATTTGAAGCCGAAGTCCTCAGCACCCTAATGCCCAAACCTCGCCCACATCGGGGGTTTAGAGTCGAGGTTTGGGGTTTCTGACCCCGAAACTTAGGGTTTAGGGTTTAGGGTTTAGGGTTTAGGGTTTAGGGTTTAGGGTTTAGGAATCACCAACACCCTGCACCCCCAAACCTTCCGGCATGGCTTGTGCCTTTGCGTACAAAGCGCTCGCCTACAATAATCAGACATGAACAAAACTGAACGTGAAGCTTTTTCCCACGGACCAGATATCAAGTAGAAACCCTACCAAAGCTTTAACGCTAAACCCAAAATCTGTCACTTCACTCGTTGTGTGGTTCCTAAACCCTGATAGGAACTCTCTAGGAGGATCCCAACTCAAAACCCTAAACACTCATCCCTGAACTCTAAAACCTAAACCGCTAAATCCCGAAACCCTAAACCCTAAACCGCACATTCCCAAAACCCTAAACCCCTTCAGAATGCTGAGGCCCCGTGCCACCCAAGAGCCCGGTGGACTCAAGGCGAGCAACGCGGCGTTCTTCTCTTTATCCTCGCAAAGCCAGAGACTCCACCATCCCAAAATTAAGGAGTAAACCTTACCTGGAGGATCATGGGACTTAGTAAGTAGGGTTATAAGTACCTTACTTGGGGTTATAAGTGGATATAACTATAGATACCTTGTCTATAACCCTACTTACTACCTGATCCTCTAAGTAGAGTATAGTAGGATCCTTCCCTAAGCCCTGCGCACGATCCTTCGTCCGTTCTCTTAAAACAGTTGAGTGTGGCAATCACGACTTCGCTTCATGATAGCAGCAACGGCTATCAAGTTTCTACAGTGTCAGCTGCGAGGGTCAAAGGTTAATAGGAACTGGTGAACCACAACAACTCCAATGACTCTGCAACGAGTCACTGCAGCTGAAGTACCTGCCGAGGCCCAAGTACCCGTCATCACAAACTCCCAATTCCTGAACTCCAAAACTACATCCAGGCCGGAAGAACCAAGAGGAGGGTTTAGGGCTAGGGGATCATCAGAGCCGGTTTTCTTGCACATTTCAATAACCTACGAGATCTTACAATAGGGAGCCCAAGGAATACTTTACGCATTATGCCGACCCCTGTCGTAAGCGGAAGAAAGCCTCCTGTAAGGCTTTGAAGCCCATGAGACAGCATCCCCCTCCTTCCGGTACCCCCGGCTTCTCCTGATGGCTGCAAGGTTTGGGAAGTTAAGATTAAGGTCGTTTCGAAGGGAGGATCATTGGCAATAAGCTTGAACGATCTGAACCACCTCCGGGAAGCCTGTCTGTATGACTGTTTGCCCACTTCTTTGTCGGGGCGTGGGCCTCAAATACCGAAGCCTGATATGCAGGCTTTTTCAAGGGCTCAAAGGGTTCGCAAGGGATGCAACAGTGTAAGGATTGAGGACTGTTGGTGGCTTTCGGGGGGTTGCACTTCATGTTTGGCGCGTAGCCTTACATTTGGAGTTCTGAGTTCTGGGCCTAGGGCCGGGGTTTGGACTAGGATTTGGGGTTTGGGGGTTTAGGGTCTAGGCGATTCAAAGACTTCAGGACGACATGAACTTCGACTTGCTGTGCCGTGCAGTGAAACACGACTACCACAACCGGAATCAAAAAAGAAACAGGCTGTGGCATGTGCCCAAAACTTCCGAAAATCGTCAAAAAGACCATCACTCTCAACCACTTTGGGTCTAACGTTCAAGATGCGCTTTGCCTACCTTCACTTTCAGCCTCCTCTCTGTGGCTTTAGGGCTTCGAGGTTCCCATAGACCCCTGATCAAAACATGGCATCCTACGGCTGATGGACAAAATCCTGCATGACCCTAAGGACTCCAAACTATGGGAACTATGGTATATTCCTCATAATGGGCAATGCAGGATTTTGTCCATCAACAGTATCATCTTCTGAGCAGCACATTGAGGCCTCTAGAGACGTCTGATTGCTTAGAGGACCATGGGACTTGGTAAGGGTTCTTAAAAGGCCCCTTAAAGGGATCTGTAGGGTTCCTTAAACGGATCTGTAGGGTTTAGTTTAGGGTTTAGGGTCTACTTAGAGGATCATGGGACTTAGTAAGTAGGGTTACAAGTAAGGTAACTATAGTTATATCTACTTCTAACCCCAATTAAGGTACCTATAACCCTACTTACTAAGTCCCATGATCCTCCAAGTAGAGACGTCTGCACTGGGGTTTAAGGTTTCCCTAAGGGTCCAAAGGACCCAATAATTAGGTGCTCGGGTTTGGGATAGTAGTTATGTAGGTTACTATACGATAATTGGGTACTTGGACCCTGAGGGTTTAGTCCTAAAGACCAGAACTGTTGCTGAGCTTCGTATGGGACCAATGGCCATCGTACTCCACGAAAAGCGCGGCTTCGGGCTCCTGCTTACGGCTTGAAGCGGCTTGGACAATAATTGTACCCCTGGGATTGTTGCCGGGCTTTTGCCCGTGAATTTGGAAGGGCTTTCTCGCAGGATGCGAAAGGGGCTGTGAACGGAACAGCGCAAGAAGCCTCAAACGAAACTGACGAAACCCAAGAAAACCTCAACAGCGGAATTGGACCTACCCTAAACCCTAAACCCTAAACCCTAAACCCTAAACCCTAAACCCTACACCCTGAACCCTGAACCCTAAACCCTAAACCGACTTCGGATGTAAGGTTGTTGGCCTAGAAGGCTCTGGGTTTCGAGCTATCGCTTGAAAGATCCGCGTGACCAGCGCGACATCGCCCTGCTTCGAAGATGAGGCTCCCCTCCTAAGGCTCCTAAAACCCTAACCCTAAACCCTAACGAACCCTAAAGCCCTAAATCCCTGAATCCTGAACCCTAAACCCTGAACCCTAACCCCTAAACCCATAAATCCCTGAATCCTCCGCCCCTGAAACTCTTGCCTTGAGCACTCCGAAGGCCACGAGGTCCGGCAAGAGCCCGGCTCTCCGGAAACGGCCGGAGCCCTCAAAGCGGCGAAACAGCTCCTCGTTTTTTGGGCCATTAGGTTTTAGGGGTTTAGGGTTTAGGGGTTTGGGGTTTAAGTTTAGGATGTAGGGCTCAGGGCTTAGGATTGGGGATTGCCTTCGTGCTACATTTTGAGATTGTTGGAAAGGTTTTGGCAGAGCGTTTGGGCTTGCTAGATTGCTCATGAGGGCTGCTTCGGGGCCTTGATCATTGGAATACGGCTTTGGCATCTCTCCAGCATAGAAGGCTTGGGGGGGGTGGGTTCGCGCTTGGGTGTCTGCCAGCCCTTGAGATTTAGCTTCCACCAGTCGGGTCCTCAGTTTCAGGGTGCCCTAACCGACAAGGGTTGAGGGTTTAAGGTTTGGGGTTTACTTAGAGGATCATGGGACTTAGTAAGTAGGGCTATAAGTAAGGTAACTATAGTTATATCTACTTATAACCCCAATTGAGGTACTTATAACCCTACTTACTCAGTCCTATGATCCTCTAAGTAGGGTTTAGGGACGACGTACCAAAAATGCCCAGGTCCCACTGTAGGACCCTCAAGAGGACGTCCTCCAGCTGAGCCCTTGGGGGTTTGAGAATTCTATGTTCAAAGGGGAAAAGGAGGGACCCTTAACGGGGACCCTTACCCTGTAATGGGCTATATAATGGGTATATAATAGCTATATGAAGGGTATGTACCTAGGGTTCCTTATAAGGGTCCCTCCTTTTACCCTTGGATTCTATGTTCGAACTCTGGGTTCGGGAACTCTATGTTCGAACCCCGAGAGGAAACTCTCTGATTGAACCCTGGGTTCAGGAACTCTCATGTTCGAACTCCAGGTTGGGAACTCTGTGTTCGAACACTGGGTTCGGAAACTTTTTGTTCGAACCCTGGGTTCGGGAACTCTATGTTCGAACTCTGGGTTCAGGAAAGTCTATGTTTGAATCCAGGCTATGTTCGAACTTCCGGGGCTTGGCAGAGCTCGAACTTTGGCGGAAGAGTTTGAACATAGAGTTACCTAGAGCTGCCACCACTTCGAGCTTTCATTCTGACTTTCTTCGCTGCTCAACCCCCTCCAAGCGATTTCGTGGACTTCTCCGCCAAAGCCGCAAACCCGAAGCCCGAAGCGCTGATCCCCGAAACCGACTCTTCAGCCCTTTTCCTCGATGGGATGGTCTGGCATGAGGAGCACGCCCAACTGAGCCATCAGTTCCTCAGTTGCGGCAGCGGTGTTGGCGGTAGGTAGTTTTGCCGGTGGCAGGAGCGGTGCTGTTGGTGGTGCTGCTGGGTGCGCGTGCAAATACCCCTACTGAAGTCAAGACCACTGCCACGACCACGACGGCTGCGACTATGACTGCTGCAATTACCACCACTGCGGCTGCGACTAAACATGCTGACAGCACCACCACCACCACCACCACCAGCACAGCACGGAGATTCTTGCTCAACGAAGCAGATGCTAGACGGTGCTTAGGACATGCCAAAAGTAAACTACGATCTACAGATTGTACGATAATATACTACAACGAACTGTGATAAGCTATAACACACTACGTAGAATGAAGAATTAAAGACACGAACGCGAACTATAACGTACTAGACTGCACATTTACATACTAAAATGCACTTTAACCCTAAACCCCAATTTTAACGAACGATAACAAACCCAAGCCCTAGGTCCTCGCCCTCGGGGGCCGAACAAGGGAGCCTAGGATGCAAAGCTCCCAAGCCTCAAAAGCCCGAAACTCGGGGGTTCAATGTAGGAACCTGATTAAGAAACCCTGGGCCTACAACCCGAAAATAGTAGGATTCATATGGGTGGTTGTCAATATTGGGGTCCCTTTTTGGGTCCCTTAAATATTCGGTGCGGCATTATAATGTTGACCCAAGAAGGGACCCATAATTTTGACAACCACCCATATAAGGAACCCCAATAAAGGCCCAAGGTCTCTTAATCAGGTTCCTATAGTGAAGCTGAGGGTTGATGGCTTAGGGTTCAGCGTGGAGGGTTCGGAGTCTTGGGTTGCAGGCTTAGGGGTTCAGGGTTGAGGGTGGAGGGCTTTTTTTTTACACTTCTCGATCTGTGCGTGTCATCCAGGGTGGAGAGGTTTAGGGTCGAGGGTTTAGGGCTTGGGGCTTTAGGGGGCTTTGGTTCTAAGGGTTTCTCGGGCTCAGCCAAGGTACTAACTCGGAGATGGAAAATTGCTCTTCTCGGCGGACGTGGCTGCGCAGCCACCTGAGGGGCTCGAGGGTTTGTTGAAGTTAATACAGGACATGTGATACTAAGACCCCTACAGTAGACGAAATAATATAGGGGCCTCAATAGTAAGAATAGGGGTTTTGAATCCCGTTATCCGATAACCACAATAAGAAACACCCAAGATAGTATCGGTAGTTATTGAGGCCCCTATATCATGCACTCACCAATAAGCGACGGAGTCGGCTAGTGTTGGCTTGGGGACGTGGGATCGAGTCGCATACGGTATGCGACCTTTGGATGTCGGGACTCTTTGCTTTAATGGCCCAGACCTTCAGGAGGATCCAAAAAGTAGATCCCTTCATGGGGGGTCCCATAAAAAAAAGCACCCTTAGTAGTATAGGGCCCCAAATTTAGGGGATCTACTTTCCAGATCCTCCCGGGGGTCTGGGGATGCGGGGCTTAGGGTTGGGAATGCTACTGGCCTCTCCTGAGATTTACCGACTGATCCCAGGCTTTTTTGGAGCAGGGCACCACAAGCAACATGTTTCCGAACACTCTCTAAAGCCCTAAACTCAAGAAACGCCCAAGTGTTCGGGCGCCCAGTGCACTGAAGCATCCCAGGCGAAGGGCATTTGAGGTCTCCTTCTGATTGGGTGTTGGGGTTTGGGGATTCTTTATGGTCTACTTAGGGGATCATGGGACATAGTAAGTAGGGTTATAAGTAAGGTAACTGTAGTTGTATATAACTACAACCCCAATGAAGGTACTTATAACCCTACTTAATTACGAAGTCCCATGATCCTCCAAGTAAGGTTGTGGGATGAAGGTGGGTCTGAGGGGTTTAGTTTTTCGGGCTCTTGGCTGAGGGTGCGGCTTCCAGATCTGGCTCCCGAATCGTGAAAACACGCGCAATCAAGCCGCAACGAAATCCTGGATTGCGTCCAAACCGTCTTTGTAGCTTCTTCCAAGCCTGTTTAGGGTTTAGGGTTCAAGGTTTAGGGTTGAGGGTTTAGGGTTTAGATCCCTTGATCATACTCCCTGCATAACATGTCCTTTAAGGCCCCAAGCCTCAGCCTTTACATCCCAAAGCTAAACCAAACCAAGACCCTAAACCCTGAACCAAGACCAAACACCCAAAACCCTAAACCTAAAACCAAGACCTTAAGCCCTTAAAAAGACCAGAGGATTTGAAAAACAGGAAGCAAGCCGCTCGAAGGGGACTAGAGGATTTGAGAAACAAGAAGCAAACCGCTTGAAAGGGACTTAACATCCCTAAACCCAACCCCTAAATCCTAAGCCCTCAACCCTAAACTCAAAGGCAACATCTCAGGGTCTCCCGGCCAGGCCGGGGGCGTGGCCAGCGCCACCGCGCCGGCCGCCAGCGCCGAAATGGCCGACAGCGCCCGGCGCAAACGGCACGGCATTGCTTGGCTTGTTTGGGGCGTTTAGAGTTTGGACTCTAGAGTTTAGGGTTTAGGGTTTAGGGTTCAGGGTTTAGGGCTTAGGGTTCAGGGTTTAGGGTTCAGGGTTTAGGGTTTAGGGGTTTAGGGTGTCTAAAGTTCTCATGGCGTTTAGGGCTTCGGCCTGATCGTGTCTATAGCTATGATTTTTCGTGGGCGGAGCTTTGGTTTCGGATGGGTTCTTAATTAGATGTCTCGGCACTAACCCAGACCCCCCAACTGCCCTCTGTTATGCCCTAAACACTAAGGGCTCCATTAAAGGGCCATCCCTGAGCAAAACTGAAGCTTTGCTACTGAGCGTATCTTGCTGTCCTGTGCCATCTTCTCTGGCCCCTCATGGTAGCAAACCAAAAGCCTCAGCCCTCAACCGTAGCAGGCAGGACACTCGCCCCGATGTCAAAACCCTAGAAGAGCTGTAGTTTGAATTGAGGGTAGGGCTTTAGGGCTTTAGGGTCGTACGCTTGGTGTTGAGGGTTTATCGTTTGGGCTGAAAAGTTTGGAGGGTTTTCGACGCGATTCGGCTCAGTTCCCACATGGCGGTACCCTGAACCCTAAAGAGTTGTCTCGGGCTCCCCGGGCCGAAACGACCATCACGGCATTGAAGAGGCGATGTTGGGTCAGCGGATGGCGGAACTTCAACCGCCCCCCACTCGAAGCCTAGTAACCTTAAACCCTAAACCCACCTAAGTCTAGGAACACTGGATGTAAGAGTTGACAACGCCACGAGCCTCAGACCTGAACCGCAAGCTCTTCCAAACAAAGGTAGACGAGCAAAAAGACCCCTCCAAGCATACACCCTGAACCTGTCCTCCACCCCAACCTTTTATCAAGCTCGTCCAAAGCCTAAAAGCCCTAAAAGCCTAAACCCTAAAAACCTGTAGCCGCTCTCCAGCCCTACTGGAGTCAGAACTAGACTTGGGCGTAGGGGTTCCTTTACGGGTTCTGAGGTTTCTGACTGCTAGGCTCTACTATAATACAGCTTCCAGTCGGATCCTTTAGTCTCGGGTTGGTTTAGGGTACAGGGGGCTGAAAGATTAGCATAGGGTTTCGGGTTGGGCTTCTAGTACATGGTTGGGATAGGATTAAACATGTACATGTTTATTCCTATTGGGTTTCAGTACCCATAAAAATGTAAAATGTTACCCAACTATGACAAAGGTGTTTTACGGTTTAGGGTACAGGGTAGGGTTCCTGGGTTCCTTGTAAGGGATACTTTCAGTCAGGGGTACGTACTACAAGAGTTCTGACGTAGTGGCCCTGTTACTGTCAGGGGATATTATTACTATTATTATGATTATTATTATTATTATTAGTATTATTATTATGATTATTATGATTATTATGATTATTATGATTATTATGATTATGATTATTATGATGATTATTATTATTATATTATTATTATTATTATTATAGTTATTATTGTTATTACTGTTATTATTGTTGTTATTATTATTATTATTATTGTTATTATTATTAATATTATTATTATTGTTATTATTGTTATTATTGTTATTACTGTTATTATTGTTATTATTATTATTATTATTATTATTATTATTATTATTATTATTATTATTATTATTATTGTTATTATTGCTATATATATATATACATATATACATATAACAAGGAAGCCTAAGGAATGATATTGGTAGCTACTCAGGCTTCTAGTTAGTGCAGTGACGGCAAGTAAAGCATCGGGGTTGAGGATTTGCCTGTTTCGGTGAAAAGGGTTAAAACTTCTGGTTTCGGCGTTGGGGTTTGGGTTCGGGGCCTTGGGTTTAGGGATTTTGGGTTTCGGGGCGTTGACGTTGTGGGGTGGACGAGAGCCCTGCAAGCACTACAGCCCAACTGCTGGACCGAAGATAGTCAAGTTGGGCCGAGAATCCCCGGCAACCCCCCACAAGACTCCTTCGAACCCTAAACCTATTCAGCTGAAAACGAACATCAAAGGCCGTGGCAGGGTAGTATAGCGCTGCCGTACATGCCGCACCTCGCTACAGTCAGCTTGAGTTGGGGGGTTGCAATTTGCAATAACCCAAAACCCTATTCTAATTTTCATGTCCATACTCTTCCAAGGTGTCGACCAGGAGTTTTAACGAGTGACTCAGGCTGAGAAAACAAGAAAAAGACAATCTGGAACCTCAGGACGCTACACCTGCTTCCACTTGAAAGCCGCCACTGTCAGGCACAAGCCTGCAAACCTGTGAACCACAGAACACGACAACAAAACAAAAAACAAAGAAAACGCCCATGACATACACATCACGGCCCTACTAAAGGAAACCTATACAAATCGCTTATGAACCCTTATGAACCCTTATGAACCCCATAGCTGCTCCCTTTCTATGCTGGCCGCTTCTCGTCCCAAATCCCGGAGCGTGGTGCCGACAGCCCTGACGAGGTGTCGATTTCAACAGCCCTCGGAATTGTTTGTGGCTCGAACTCCACGTTGAACCAATACATTGAAGTTTCCCAAGTCGGTACCTAGCTGACGCCCTAAATCCCTAGAGGTCTCACCTCCCCACCAAAGACGAAGCGACAAGAAGGACGACAACTCTGATGGGACTGCTAAGATCAAGGCCTAACAAGAGAGATCCAGGAGTCGACGCTACGTCCAGCCCGCTACTTGCTGCCCCAATAAGCCACAGAAGTAAAAGGTTAAACTTTCCGATTCCTACTAAACTATAAGAGCCCATACAGTTTTAAGGTTAGGTATTGGGGATCTAAGACTAACATCCCATCACCGGACCACGATCCTGATTACACGAACCCCTAGACCCTAGATAAGCCCGGATATACCCGCAAAGCACCGCTTTACAAGCCGTAAAGCTCCCGGCCTACAGAGAAGAGCCCCTCGTAGGGAGCATCGGAGATATCGGTTGCCTTAGGCAGCTTTTGGAGATGCAGAGGCAGGGCGCAGGTTTTAATGCATCATACCGTATTCTCAGAACAAAGAGTCCAAAGGAACCGCATTCTAGTCGCGAAGATCCCTGTAGCACAAAGGCTCCTAAAGGGGTTCCTGCAATGGTCCAGGTGTTGGCTTTGGTGTCAACTCATGAGGGTCCACGGATCCAACCCCCCGAAGAAAGTCGATCTTGGCTCCTGTAGGCTCCAAGCGCCCACAGATTTCAATGTAGGGGACTGGATAAACAGTATAGGCTTCGGTGTTTTTTTGGGCAGTGTAGCACGCATGCTGGAAACAGACTATTGACATGACTTCCCCGCGTCGTTCGGAGCCCTGCAGGCAGGACTCAAACTGAGGAGAGGCACTCAGACAAGCATTCTGGGTTAGGACTTAATGCCTTCATAGTTACAATAAGGCTTTGAGGTACATGCCACTATAGCTATACTAAGGAACCCCAAAACAGTATAGGTAATTATTCAGGCCCCTATATCAGGCTTTTGGGATTTAGGGCTGCAGAGTTCGGACCTTACCACCAAACCTTCCCGGTAGATTCAGGGCTGCTTGGATTCTAATGTTTAACCCTGGGCCCTAAACCCTGAACCCTAAACCCTAAACCCTGAACCTGAGGAGCTGTAAACCTCGAGTAAGTCGCCGGCGATCGCAACTCCGTAGCGGCCGTCCCAGCGATCGGACTCAACCTTGCAAACTGCTTAGGAGGAACAGCGAGAAAGGAAAGCGAGAGCGGGAGCGACAGAGAAAGAAAGAGAGGGAGAGAGAGGGAGACAAAGAAAGAAAGAACCAGAGATGAGCTACGGAGAGCGAGATAACAGGGAGAGAGAGCGGGAAGGAGGGAAGAAGGGAGGGAAGGAGAGAGATAGAGAGAGAAGGATAGCCCGACCCTGCCCTGTCTTGCCCATGAGGGCTCCTTCAAGGCATCCCAAAAATTGCACAAAGGTCCTTTCCGGGCTCTCCTTGAAAGGAGCTAAGAACGATTTTGTAAAGGGGTGGGTCTGAGGTTTTAACACCAAAGAACGCCCTGCAAACGTTGTAACTTTATCGATCCCTTGCAGGAGCCCTTATCGGAACCTGCAACACTCACGCTAACGCTACTTAGGGTGCATCATGTGATCTGATGTTGATCCCTCTGATGCCCTTCTTGGAGGATCATGGGACTTAGCAAGTAGGGTTATAAGTACCTTAAATGGGGAGTTATAAGTAGATATAACTATAGCTACCTTACTTATAACCCTACTTATTAAGTCCCATGATCTTCTAAGTAGACCCTACACCCTAAACTAAACGCCATAGATCCCCTTGAGGAACCCTATAGATCCCTTAGAGGGACCCTTACTAAGTCCCATGGTCCTCTAAGTTTCGGACCTACGGCAGTGGCCCCTTCAAAAAGCGCCGCGCGCCGATAAAGAGAGGCCGTTCACAGAGCTCTCAGCGAGCTTTGGTTAACTTCCGTTGAGCGGAATAGGGCTCCTTTAAAGGGATCTATAGGGTTCGTTCAAAGGGATCTATAGGGGTCTATATGGGTTACAATAAAGGGATCTGTACTTATTTTTGGTTTAGTAGGGAATGGAGGAAGGGGGTACAATTAAAACTACTATTACTGCCTTCTTCCATTCCCTACTAACCAAAGGTAAGAAGAACGCCTTTGTGCCTAGAGTTGTTTCTGGAAGGTTACTCATCAGTGCAACGCCGCTGTTGCAGAATCCATACAGACCCTGAAACCCCAAACCCTAAACTTGAGGGTCCCCTTACAGGAGCCCTCTGTGACGGAGCCCTTAACGCTGAAAACTTTTAGTGAAGCCCAGAGAGTTGGAAACTTCAAACCGGATTAAGGACACATAGTGCTGGGATTCCCTATGCATTACTCTCAAGGATTGAGGCTATTGGGTTTCCAACTTTCAGGCTTTTACTATAAATCCCACAGCCTGACCCCTCATATGAAGTTACATAGGGGCCTGAATAATTAGAATAGGGTTTCCAACCTTTGGGCTTCTACCAAAAACCCTCCAAGCAGAAAAATGATCTGAGGCAAACTGTGGTCGAGGCCCAATTCTGGGCGCAAAGACCGGCAGCCTCTCTTTAAGGGTTCCTTTAGGGCTATATTGTGCTATATAAAGGGTATATAATACCTATATTAAGGGTATATACCTAGGGGTCCTTATTAGGGGTCCCTCCTTTTACCCTTTGATTTAAGGGTTCCTTTAGGGATTTCGGGCTTCGGTATTGGCAGAGGGCTCCTAGGGCTCAGGGCTTAGGGCGTAGAAGGTTTTAGGGTTGGGGGTGTGGGCTTGTTGTGTCTCAGGGGAGGTGCAGGGTTTAGGGTTGGGATCTCAGGTTTGCTTTGTGTTTAGGGTTTAAGGCCCTGTCTGGGGCATGCTTTAGTGGCTGTTGTCAAACGTCTTGTGTGTTTGTTCTTTCGCTCTGAAGGTGTTGTCGGTTTAGCTTTGTTGGGTAGTGGGTTCAGGATTTAGAGTTGTTAGACCTGTGGTGTACCGAACACACCCACCACCACCCATGTAAACCCCATGTCGGTGCGAGGCTCGTTCTGCTTTACGGCGTCGGGGCTCAGGTTGTCGGGTTTTCGAATGAAGACTGATGCAGGATTCAAGACCTTGAGCGAAAAAGTGAGCGAGTTTCGGACGTAGGATTCTGGGTTTCGGCTTTGAGGGTCGGCGTAACGGGGTAATGCTCCCATGACCAGCTACTTCAGGCGTAAGGGGGTAGGACGCTGGCCTGCACCAGCACTCAATCTTCATTCCTCGAACCTGAAAGCTAAACGAAAAAGTCTAAACCGTCAAGCTAGGAAGTGCATGCTCAATCCACCCTCTGCTTGCCTGACCGCCGTAGCAAGCGTTGTACATGTCCACGCCCTCGATGTTGCCCTCGAGAGCTTTAACTTAGCATAGGGGCCTGGATCTCGCATATGTTTCCTTAGCGCTCCCTTTCTATGAACTAACTAATTAAACCACATCCTTTAAACCCCTAAACTCTTCCTTAGGGTTCAGAGTATATGCAGCAAATAGATTATTATATACTGCCTCAAGCCCCTGCTCTGTTTATGAAGTTCCCAAAACCAGGCTTTGCGCGTAAGAGTCTGGGGTTGGGCATTCTGAGTCAAGGATCCTGAGTTGGAGACACGGATTTGACATAGGGGCCTCCACAATTAGAATGGGATTTCATTGAAGCATGAGGCTGTAAGGTAACAGTATTACTAATTGTTCGATCTGGGCCCGCCGAGCCCGAAAAACTAACTTCAAACGCGCAGCCCTAAACCTGAAACTTTGAACCCCAACCCCAACCCCTCAACCAGCAACGACGAATGCATGAACCCTGCTCGCCCGCGCCTGAGAGTCTACCTGTACTATTTACGGTGTAGGCTCTAGGGTTGTGTTCAGAAGGGGGGAGACCGCCAAACTGTGTACTGGCTGCTGCCTCAACAAACCAAAGGCTGATGCAACAGCGTAAGCATCACAGCGTGACAAACGAAGCACGCTGATGGTGATGTGGGGATGCTGCTGCTGCTGTTGATGATGATGACGAAGACGACGATGATGTTGCTGGCGACGATGATGATGATGATGATGATGAAATGATGAAATGATGAAATGACGAAATGATGAAATGATGAAATTAAGAAACGATGAAATGATGATATGATGAAAAAATGATGTTGATGTGATGTCGTGAACGGATGATTTTGATACTATGCTCTTGATGATGTTGAGGAGGAGGAGGAGGAGGAGGAGGAGGAGGAGAAGGAGGAGGAGGAGGAGGAGGAGGGCCGGGACTGGCCAGGAGAGCATCATGGTGACAAGACGAGAACCAGTGAAAAACCAAAGAAGCTGGGTTTAGGGTTTAGGGTTAAAGAACGCCAAGGACAACAAAGACCGCCAACAGAAATCTCGCACCTCGCCGCTGCCATACCGTTCGAAGAGGTCCATGACGTAGGCCTTCCGGTTCTGTGCTGGTTCAGGGGTTTGGGGGGGCCCTATCTCTCGACCCTAAAACCCGGAAAGTGCACACCTTGAGCTCTAAACCCTAACTAAACCCCAGAATCCAAAAACATCAAGCAGGAAGCCCCGAAATCTTAAAGCGGAAGCTGAGGATCGTGGGTAAGGGCTCCGGGCCTTTCACCGCAACCCCTCCTTCTCAACTCTGCTTCTCCAAAGTTCAGGATAATCCAGGCTTCTTCTGTTTTAAGGCTTTAGGGTTTAGTCTTCTCTATGTGGGAGTTTCCGACAACTAGGGGTACCTTATTTTGGGTTCCTTATGATAAGGATCCTACTATCTAGCGTGCTATATTAGGGTCCCCGTTTTCGGAAACTCCCATGTGTGACAGGGGTTAGCATTGAGGGTCTGCAAGGTTACTCCTGAAATTCCTTTAGGTTGCTCTCCGACCGAAACATCCATCCCCTTCTGGAGACACCTGTTGCACTGGACTTTATCTCAAGTTCTCCTTTCTTGCGAATGTGTGACACTGCTTACGATTTACGGTTTGCAAGGCCTTGAAATTGAAATACCTTTAGCTTGATCTCCGACCGAAACATTCCCTTCATGAAGACGCTTGATTCACTGGCCTGTTCTCAAGAGCCTACTTGGAACAAGAAAGGGCCTACTCCCAAGTACTATAAGGGCCTTCATAATTAGAATAGGGTTTTGGGGCCCGTTATACTATAATTCTAATAAGGAACCCCCAAAAAAGTAGAGGCAATTATTAAGAATCCTATGTTACATGTCCTCCCTGCAGGTGAGCCTTCATGGACTTCGATCTATCGATGATGCTCTCGGTACCTTCGCACCCAGAGAGCCCAAGACCCCTTAATTAAGAAATATACCTTAAATTATAAGGGGCTTCATATTATGATTTAAGCTGCTATATTCCTCAAAAGAGGATTTTTAAGGAATTTAGCTGAAAATCATAATGTGAAGCCCCTAATGATTTAAGGAATGTTCTTTAATTAAGGGGTATTGGGCTCTCTGGGCAGATCGACCAGCCAAGGTACCAATTGGGGTCGAGGCCGTCGTGTCTAAGGGGGTCGATGCACGAGTCCAAGACTCAACACCTAAACGGTGAAACCTTGAACGCTAATCTAAACCCTCATAGCCCACTAAACCCTAAAAGCAAACCCTCCCGGCATTGGACTTCGGTTTCGACAGCTAACATGGGAACCTGACGCCTTACCCACGTGCTTTTAGCCCATCCCACCATCTCTTTCCCATTCTTGCTCAGACGTTCCGGAACCAAGTCCTCAAACACCGCTTCCAGAAACCAGGGTTTGGAATTTGGAGCTGGCTTAGGGCTTAGGGTTTAGGGTTTCGGGTTTAGGGATTCGACCCATGAACCACACCACCCAGCAGCGTTCCTTAAATTGTCCCAGAAGGTTAGTATCATCAAGCTGCAAGCACGAGGCTGGGCTCTGCAACGTCTCCCTAAACCCGAAACCCTTGAAGCCCTAAACCCCTAAACCCGAGACCCCTAAACCCCGAAAAAATAACTAAGCCCTAGCCCAGTAAAACCGCTGAATCCTCGAATCTCACAGCCTTCGCCCCACAATCCCCTAATCCCCAGATGACTCGGGAAGACAAGCAGGGTTTGGGGGTTTAGGGTTTCTTGAAGGGGTTTAGGTCCTTGGGTTTGGTTGTTCAAGGCTCTTTGGTGGTTTAATGGTCTAGGGTTTGGGGGGTTTAGGGGTTTAGGGTTCAGGGTTCTGGGGTTTAGGATTTTTGGGGTTTAGGGTTCTATACTATAAATACTATTCAACTGTTCCTGAGTTGGGGTAGAAACGCTAAACCTGAATAAACGTTCCAAAACATGGAAATCACATATCACATACCTACCTTAAACAACTAAACCCTACTTTTTTGTAGGTTCTTATAATGAACCCTGATACGAAATTTAAAGGGACCCTACAAAAAAATAGGTTTTGGTAGGTTAAGGTATAGCCGCAGCCACGGCATGGCATACCCCCAAACCCTATTCTACTTATTAGGACCAGAAATCATAAGACCATGCGAACGCTCATAAAACCCTTCTGAGCCCTTCTAGCACGCTTCTAAGACCCTTCAGCAAGCTGTTTTTTAACGCCGTTCTAAAATCCTTTATGATCCCCTTGCAACATCTCTTGCCTTAACGGCAACCTTTTCATATGGAAACCATCATGTTGAACAACACCAGAAGACGCCCTCTAAAGCTAAAAACATCACAATAGCCTGAAACCCACAATTAAGTCCTGAAAAGCTGGAGAAAACCCCGAAAGCCCCCGTGCCTCAACTGAAGCAACTAATACGAATAATCTCTTAAAACCATCATGAAAACCTGCTAAAACCTTGAATCCCCGTAGAATCTCATAAAACCCATGAAATCCTAAACCCAAATCCTAAACCTAAAACCATTATGACAATCTGCTAAAACCCCGTATAATCTCATAAAACTCATGAAACCCTAAACACCAAACCCTAAACCCTAAGCCGCGCCTTCAGAAACCCGAAACTCGATTCAAAGCCTAAAACCCTCGGAATCCTTTCTTCCAATCTCCCCCTCCTGGGCATGGGAGTTTCCCAAAATAGGGGGATCCCTTTAAGGAACCCTTAACGGATCCTTTTTAAGGGCAGCCCTAATTTTCGGACGTCTCAGCTCCAGGCCGATGTCCAGGCGACCCACGCTGTTCCAAGAAGGCAGGCGATTGCCATCCTGGAGATATCTGCTTAGAAGGGTCCAGGCCTTAAGGGGTCTAGAGTTGAGGGTTTAGGGCTTTACGGTTTAGGGCTTTTAGGGTTTAGGGCTTTTAGGGTTTAGGGATTTGAGGGTTTAGGGCTTTAGGGTTGAGGGTTTAGGGCTTTAGGGTTTAGGGTTTAGGGCTTTAGGGTTTAGGGATTTGAGGGTTTAGGGCTTTAGGGTTTAGGGTGTAGGGCTTTAGGGTTTAGGGCTTCAGGGTTTAGGGATTTGAGGGTTTAGGGCTTTTAGGGTTTAGGGCTTTAGGGTTTAGGGCTTTTAGGGTTTAGGGCTTTAGGCTTTAGGGCTTTAGGGCTTTAGGGTTTAGGGTTGAGAGCTTAGGGACTTTAGGGCGTATACGTCTGGGGTTTAGCTTTCAGGGAAGGCTAAGCTCCGCGCCGGCATGTATCTGTAGGTCTCGTTGAAGCCCTCCTGGCCGTGCGATGTGCGGTGCAGCTTTGTAGGAGATCCTCAGCCCCAAACCCTCAATCCTTCGCCCGAAGCCCCAGCCCTAAACGTGCGGAGCTCAGGTCCAACCCTGAAACCCTGGACCCAAAACAGTGGTTTTGGTCTTGGGGTCGGGGCGTTTTGCTGGCTTAGAGCACAATCAACATGCACAACCCATCAGAGAATTTTGCGCAGGTCTGTCGAGTCCATCAGAAGTGCTTCAACACTAAACGCTGAACCCCACACCCGAGATCCAATCCCTAACACAATTAACTATTCAAGAGCATCTTCATAAGCAACCCCTAAACCCTATACCCTGAACCCTTAGTCGCTCTAAACCCTCAACCCTAAACCCTACCACTAAGGTTTTTCAAGCCTTTTCTGGGGATCCTGGCGTCGTTCCAGGATGGAGCCCTTTTGGGCGCGGAGACTGAGGGGTGCCGTAAAAGTTTGGGCTTCAGACATTATGATGATGCAACGTTGGGGCTGCGAGTTTAGGGTTTAGGGCACTTGGAGGTGCACTCTCTAGCCATGAGAAAGTCCACTAGACCCGCACCTTTAAATCCCCAAATACCCCAAACCCTAAACCCTAAAACCCAAATAATTGAGTCTCAGAGTTTGGCAGTGCCGAACTCAGAAAGGTTCCGAGATCCCTTCGCAAACCCACATGAAGACCAGTAAGCGACGCTGTGGATCAGGGATTAGGGTTTAGGCGGTTTAGGCCTTTGGGTTTAGGGGTTTGGGGTTTAGGGGTTTAGGATTTAGGGGTTAGGGTTTAGGCGGTGCATGTAAGCCCTCTTGGGGCTTTTAAGGGCCAGGGCTTATGCCCTAATCCGTAGGGTTTCGAGTTTGAATTTAGGTTTCAGGCGGGTTAGGCCTTTTTGAGACCTTTTGGGCCTTTTATGGTTTAGGGCCTTGCCCGTTTCGAGTGTAGGGCCCTGGATGCGGGGTTCCCAAATGGTTTTGGTGTCTTCCGTTCGGCGCGCTGGCTAAGGACCCGCTATCGGAGTCCCTGCTACGCAGGAACCTGCTCTCTCTCAAAATAAACACCTAGCAAAAAACAAGCTCTGCAAACCTTTGTATGAACTTCCCCAAACCCTGCCTTTGTATAAACTTCCCTAAACCCTGCCTTTGTATAAACTTCCCCAAACCCTACCTTTGTATAAACTTCCCTAAACCCTAAACCCTAAGCCCTAAGCCCTAACCGGCCCTAATCCATGCACCCTGCAGGGCCAGGAGTCTCCTTGTCCATTCGCTCAATAAGGCGATGGGTCACCGTCATGGCGAAGCTGACGGGATCCTGGCGTCTTCTTAGGAGGTTTTAGCGTTTACGGGTTAGGGTTTGGGGGTTTAAGGTTTAGAGTTTGGGGTTTGGGGTTGGGGGGTTTAGGGTTTAGGGATGGATGGTCTAGGGCTCGGGGAAGTTCTAGGATTCATGAGTTTAGAGGTTTGGAATTCTAGTGTTTGCTTTTGAGGAAAGCCTGATAAAGAGCTTTTGAGCAGCTTCAGAAACTAAGCGGTTGAGGCTGCAGAGGGTTTAGGGTTCAGGGTTTTGGGTTTAGGGTTTTGAGTATAGGGTTTAGGGTTTTGGGTTTAGGGTTTAGGGTTTAGGGCAAGTCCACAGGTCGCGGTGGCTGGTGGTCTCTGTGGGTCAGCGCCCCCTTTTTGTTAAAGGGCCTTTTTCCGTTTGCAGCATCTGCGTCGCAAGTCTCCTGAGGAGACCGGCATAGGTTGGCACCATCAGTGCCCCTTGAGGGTTGAAGCGTTCAAGGTCTTTGTTCTCTAAATCTTTTTCCGCCCGCATCAGGCCGCGCTTGTAAAAACCCCCCCTTTTATCCGTCTGCTGACAAGGGTCTTCTCGTTGCGAGTCTCCAAGGGCTAGTCGTTTGCATTCTTACTCGGCTACCGAGAAACAAGGTCTAAGGCTTAGGTTCAAGATCCCAAAGCTGATCTGAAAAAAAATCCAAACCCTGAGTCCTCATAGACCCATCTATAAAACCGCTCATGCCGTTCTGCTAGGAACCAACCTAGAAAACCCCCAAGAGCCCCCGAAACTCCCCCAAAATAGTATTGGTTACCTGGACCCTAAGGAACCTACTCTTTTAGGGTTCCCTAATATGATTTCTTTATATAGGTCCTTAAAAAAGTAGGTTACTAGGGGTTCAGGTATTACTTAAGCCTCTTATACTATTTTCAGGCAGGCCCGGGCGCTCTTAGGGTGTAGGATGTAGGTTTTGTTTTAATGCGTAGTGGCCTTTCTGATCCAGCCCGCCAGTATCTGGCATACACACTATTAGGGCCCCAAAAAAGCACATAAGCAAAAATTAGGATAGGGATGTCCCATATAAACCCCCTTTAAAAGGAAGCCCATAAGGTAGGGATATCTCCACAAAATGCTTATGCTTATGTGCCTTTTTGGGTCCCTAACTATGGAGCCAGCTCCCGGATTCGGAAGCGGTAGGTTTGAGGGCTCAGGGCTCGAGCTCTTCAGGTTCGGATTCCAGCCTTAAAGGGAACTCCAGAAAGTTGGAATATGGTTTCATGGTAGGATACCCTAATTTACCATAGAAGGGTTAGGATAATCATATTCCAACTTTCTGGCTTCTACGGTTTTGGTAACGGTTTTTGGATTTTTTCCGGCTCGGCATCTGACGGCCCAGGGCGTCGAGTGCGGAGGTGGCCTAAAAGAGCACCTACGCGCAACGGAAGGTCCGAGATGAACCCGAACTACGGTTGATGATATAAATCCTGCATTACCCATAATAAGGAATATACCATAAATCCCATACTTAGGGTCCTTGAAGTAATGCAGGATTTATATCATCAACCGTAGTACCTCCAAAAGGGTGGGGTGGGGGGGGGCTCTACACAAGGGCGTCCTATGGGGGCCTCAGTAGTTGCAATCGGGTTTTGGGGCCAATTATGCTGGAGGGTAGAACGAGGAACCCCCAAATTAGTCTGGGCCTCAGCCCGAGGTCTAAACCCGAAACCCTAAATCCCTACACCCTAAAACCCTAAAATCAAAACAAGCAATCCCCAAAGTAGCATCCCCTAAACCCAAACACTAAAGCTCAAAATCGCCGTAGCAATGCTGGTCACAAGGATCCCGGGCCTCATCATCGGTGGGATATCTTGCCTCGATCATCCCGATTCCTGCTTAGGGCTTAAGGGTTTAAGCTTTTGGGGATTAGGGTTTGGGGGTTTCAGAGTTTAGGGATTTATTCGGGTTTGGGGATTAGGGCATGGGGGTCTAAGGGTTTAGGGATTAGGGTTTAAGGGTTTAGCGTCTTGGGATTAGGGTTTGGGGTTTAGGGTTTAGGGTGTTGGGCTTAAGGTTTAGGGCTTAGGGTTTAGGCTTCAGGGTTTAGGGTTTAAGGGTTTAAGGGTTTGGGGCTGCTCAGAATACGTTGCTATTTGTGCTTCCATGTGCGAAATTTCTACGTGACTTGGAAGCACCTTTTTGGCAAGTACCACGAAGTGTAACTCCACAAAGCTCTGCAACCATAGTTCAGTTCAGCACCCGGAGAATCATGGGCAGGCATGAAGAAGAAGAAAACCCTGATGGTAACTAGATACTCCTATCCCCGATGCCAGCTGCATCGCCCCGCCCTTCAGAAAGAAATAGTGCACCTGTGCAGCCCTCTTCGAAGACTCCGTGGCCTTCAAACACCGGAGACCAAGGCCCGTCCTCATGGAGACCCCGACTCCCCACGCCCAAAGTGCTCTGAAACCCTCAATAGGGATTAGGGTTCTGGGTCTAGGCTTTAGGGTTTACCTTAACCCCAAATAACCTACTTTTTGAGGGACTTATATAAAGAAATCATATTAGGGGACCCTAAAAAGGCAGGTTCCTTAGGGTCCAGGTAGGGTTTAGGGTTGGATTCCAGACTAGTCAGGTGCCGGAGTTCTGGGGTCAAGGGGGCCCACCCCGGATTCATTCGCGCAAACACCTAGCTCCACAACCAGAGTTCTCCTGAACCCTCAAAACAGTGGGGCATTAGAGACCCTGACTAAGCCCTAAACCTTTAACGGGTTCTGAGAAGAGAGAATGCGGGCCAGCCTTGAAGCACTAAGCCCTAAACCCTAAACCCGACCTGGACCTAACCCCAAATAACCTACTTTTTGAGGGACTTATATAAAGAAATCATATTAGGGGACCCTAAAAAGGCAGGTTCCTTAGGGTCCCCTCAAGTCTAAACCCCCAAACGCCCCCGTGACCCTGAGGCTCCTTTGGTGTACTTGCCGATCACCGATGGCCCATAACGATCCGGCCTGTCAGAAGTTCGTCGCTTTGAGGGTTTCGTTGAGGGTTTTCCTTCAGGGGGTGCCCAAAGGGGCCTCTTCCATGGGGAGCTTGTCACTGAACCCTCTAGTACCCTTTAAGTGTTTCCGTAATGGTTCCTTTAACCCTAAACCCTAAGCCCCTGTTACAGGAACCCGAAACCCTAGAAGGAACCCTGAAAGGGAGCCCGAAACCCTAGAAAGAACCCTTCAAGGAACTCATCTAGATCCCTTTAAAGGGAACCCGAAACCCTAGAAGGAACCCTTAAAGGAACCCATCTAGATCCCTTTAAAGGGAACCCGAAACCCTAGAAGGAACCCTTAAAGGAACCCATCTAGATCCCTTTAAAGGGAACCCGAACCCCTAGAAGGAACCCTCTAAAATAACTCATCTAGATCCCTTTAAAGGGAACCCGAAACCCTAGAAGGAACCCTTAAAGGAACCCATCTAGATCCCTTTAAAGGGAACCCGAACCCCTAGAAAGAACCCTTCAAGGAACTCATCTAGATGCCTTTAAAGGGAACCCGAAACCCTAGAAGGAACCCTTAAAGGAACCCATCCGAAACCCTGTAGGGTTCCTTGAAGTTTGGCTTTGGGATTTTGAGGTTTCAAGGCGTTCGCCCGGGTTTGGTGTTCAGGGCTTTTCAGGTTGAAGGACCCTGCTTTAGGGTTTAGGGGTCTAGGGTTTAGGGCTTAGGGTTCGGGGTTTAGGGTTTACGGTTTAGTTTGGGGGTTAAGGCTTAGCGTGTTTTTCAAGGTGTTGGTGCCAGTGAATTTATACGATCTGGTTCAAGGCTTGATCCAGCTTGGTTGTGCCAGGTACACCAAGACCTAAAGCCAAACGTCGAGCTTATTGACCATTTGACTGCCCTGAACTTTGCAAGGGCCAAGCAATTTTTCAGAAAACCTCCGAAGAATCGCGAGACCCTAAACCCCTAAACCCTAACCCCTAAACCCCTAAACCCTAAACCCCTAAACCCTAAACCCCCAAACCCCCAAACAAAGGGGCCTGGCATCAAATTCCTCCATCTCGGTCTGCTTGAAGTAGAACTGCGGATAGTAAATCCTGGGCAGGTTTGCGAAGAAGGGGGCCTTAGGGTTTAAGGTTTAGGGGTTTAGGTTTCAGGGTATTGGGTTTAGAATAGGGTTCCTGTAAAGGGGCCTATAAGGGCTACTACGAGGGCTATTTTAAGGAGGTAATATAGGGAGCTGTCAACTACTGTACCCCAGTTGAGCCCGACACCTCACTCTGAGTCGCAAGCGGAAACCGCCAATGCTGACGCCTAAACTCTTCATACTCAACCTTCAAACTTGTCAACCCTAAACCCGCAAAGGGAGGAAACCCTAAACTTGTCAACCCTGAACCCTGAACCCTGGACCCGAAACCGCCCGATGACGACGACCACGAGCTGCTGCAACAGCCCTCAGGGTTTGGGAGCCCATGCTTGGGGGAGCACCAGCAACAATGGCAGTAGCAGTGGTAAGAACAATCAAGTATTGGCGGAGAAACTAACGATGCTGCCAACAAAGAAGTAATAGGCAGAACCTGAAAACGAGACATCATCCTCGTCACGATCATCAAAACCATAGAAGCACACGCAACATCAAGGTGCTGTAAAATTGTCTTCTCATCTTAAGGTCTATAGTCCATGATCATCATCACCGGCAACTGACACAACAAGACCCCCTAAACCCTAAACCCCTAAACCCTAAACGTCTAATCCCTAAATCCTAAACCCTAAACCCGAAACCCCTAAACCCCTAACCCTAAACCCTGACCACAAAGCCTCTGAAATCTCAGAGTCGAAGGCCTGGGACTACCTCAGCTCTCGGCTCGATGGTGTGGAGCCCGACATTCCGCATTCGGTTGCGGCCTGGGCGCCCGAAACTCCAAACCCTAAACCCTGAATCCTAAACCCTAAACCTGGGGTTCAAGGCTCGTACTTGAGGTTTGAGCAGGACCTCAGCACTTGCGATGATAAGCACAGAGCGGCAGCAGCAGCAGCAGCAGCAGCAGTAAGTCAGTTGGTGTAGTAGTCCAGAGAAATGGCAGTAGCAATAGCAGCAGTAGCTGGAGCAGTCGCGGTAGTCGTAAAAACATGGCAGCGGCGTAGCAGTGACAGAAGCAGCGGCACCAAACCTCCAGCCATAAGTTAAAGCCCGTTCAGCCTAAACCCTCCTGCAAACTGTCCGCATGTTGCTCCATCTAAGCCCAGAGCCACCCATCTGCGGCCGAATCTGCTGGAGGTAATTCCCCGACTCGTCCACCAGATCTACCTGCGGTTTGGGCTGGGGCGGGGGAGGGGGGGTGGAGAGTTCAGGCACTTGCGGTTTCGGCATTGGCTCGACTGCAGGGGGTGTCAGCGCTATGGATTTGCATGGAATCCCGCAGCGCCGCCTTGGAAAATTTCTGGGGAATACTTTAACCACTTCTGCGACTACAACGTCGAGAGCAACAGCCAGTAATCTTCTTGGTGTGCTTCGAAATCATCGTGTGCTGAAGGCAGAAGTATTTCTTCCAGTGTTCCTCGTTTCGTAATAACTTGTAAGACTACTTGGAGGTTCATGGTAGTTACAAGTAGGGTTATAAGCAGGGTAACTACACTTATAACCCTATTAGGGGACTTATAACCCCGCTTATAGCTACCCATGAACCTCCAAGTACCACCACAAAAGTCCGCATCTTTGCTAATCTCGGCGTTGTTGCCCGGAACCCGAAACTCTGAACCCGGACAGGCCTCATCGTCGTAGCTCAAGTCCCCACCCTCGGCCGCGGGGGCTTTGGGCAGGGAACTGGCACTGACTCAAAGATGCAGTCAATGTTCAACAAAGCCATCAGTGCCATTGTGACAACACGCAGACAACAACCACGGCATCCCTGAATGTGGTTCAAGCCACACCGCAAACAAATAGAAGGAAATCTGTCAGGACACATACCAAGAGCTTTTCAAGTACACGTCTGAGAAGCACGAATACAGCATGAACACACCTAACATGGTAACAACTGCAGCTTTAACTGCAGCAACATACGTGCTCACCATACCAAAATATTCAAATCCCAATGTTCCGTCTTGGTAGGCACCTGGATCTTAGCACAAGGGCATGTGTAAACAGAATAGTAAACAAGATGTGTGTGTGTGTGTATATATATATATACACACACCCCTAAACCCTGAACCCTAAACCGTATTGGTTCATGCACCTATGACCTCCATGACGCTTTAGCCTGCAACAGCTGGCATGCACGGATATACCTTAAGGATGAAGCGGGGACAAGAGCCTTTTTGGCTTCGGATACTTTAAGGTTTAGGGTAGAGGATTTAGATCCCCATTCTGCCGTAGTTGCTACAACCACTTCCGTGATCCTGCGATTACACAAAGAGCATCAACACTGCTGGGCTCTGAGCTCTCGAGAACCCTTTGAACCTGTTTCCTATGCAAGAGCGAACCCAATTCAGGACTTTGTGGCTTCGGGTTTTCGGGCGTCAAAACCAATACTACCCCTAAACCCTAAACCCTAAACCCTTAACCCTAAACCCTAAAACTGCACGCGCTGTGCCCCAGCCACTTCGGCTCGAGCTTGCGACCCGGAACCCCGACCCTCGCGGTTCAAGGCTTTTGGTGCAATATCGGGGCCTTTCTCGTTACTTATACTATTTTGGGTGTTCCTTAGGATAAGTATAGCATAATGGGTACCAAAACCCTGTTCTAATTATGAAGGCCCCTATATTAAGGTTTCGGAGGCCGACCCGATCATTTGAGCATCCGGCTCCTTCGTACTCCCACTCTCCGTCCCCCTCCTCCCACTCCTCGTCCTCACACAGGACATGGCCCAAGCTCGGATGTTTTCAAACTGCTTTGACCACTATACTTGGAAATCTACAGGAAGGAACTCGTTGGCCCTCATAATCTTCTCATCATCTTCATCACTGTCATGACAGTCCTCATCCTCATCTTGACTCTCTTGTTCAACATCTTCATCCTCTTCATTGTGACTTTCATTTTCATCACCTTCATCATCATCGGCCTCTGTCCCTTGCTGCTTCAAGCCCTTCAACCCTCAAAGCCTTGGACTTTGAAGCCCCAAACCCGAGTTCTCCCGGGACCCCAACCAACACGAGACCTGGCCCTACCCTCTCTCTGAAATTTTCCCCGCTTCGGCATGCGGATTTGGTGATGAGCATGCACACTGTTGAAGCCTTAAACAGAACCTCAAGCCTGCAGCTTAAACCTGAAAAACCCGGCAATCTCGAAGGCCTTTGGGTTGGGGTCGTTCCATGGAAGTAACACAGCCGACGCGAGCCCCGCCCTAGCAGTACGGACGCGTCCTCATCAGCCGCGCCTGCCGGGAGCAGCATCTGAACTCATGCTTTAGATTTGGAGCCACACGTGGTTTCAAAACCCCATTCGCTCAAAGCCCCTGAACCCTTCAACTCTTACAAACGTAAGTCTCATAAGCCTCTCAAGAGTGAGCATGCGTGTACAGAGACATACACATGGACACATTGACTTTGGCGTAGACATAGACAGATACTCATACATACACATACAGATATACATACCCATATACATATACATATACATATACATATACATATACATATACATATACATATACATATACATGTACATATACATATACATATACATATACATGTACATGTACATGTACAAACACAAGTACATATAAATAGACAGAGACATAGACATAGACGTAGACATATACATGCAAATATACCATATACATGTACATGTACATATACATACATATACACATACATACACATATACATACACATGTACATAAACATATACATATGCGTATGCGTATTTGTATACGCATACATATACATATACATGTACATATACATATACATTTACATATACATATACAGGTACATGTACATGTATATGTATGTATATATATATATATATATGGTACCCCCACCCCCCCCCCCCGGTACCCAGGTTGTGTCCTGTTCAAGCCAGACACCTTGTCCCTAATATTTGTTTGTGTTCCTTGGTCATTGCGACTCTGGGAAAGCACGTTTTCGTTTACTGTGGCTCCCTGGGCTTCTAAGTGTAGCGTCTACTGTATTGTTGCTCCCGAGGTTTTTCCAAATTCATGGAAATTGTTGGAAATGTTGGTAAAACCAACAATTTCCATGATTCCCCTCAGAGAAATCATGGAAATTGTTGGTTTTACCAACATTTCCAACAATTTCCATGATTCACGAAACTATGGCGCGGGCTCCCGAAGTTTTTCCAAATTCATGGAAATTGTTGGAAATGTTGGTAAAACCAACAATTTCCAGGATTTTTCACAGAGGGGAATCATGGAAATTGTTGGTTTTACCAACATTTCCAACAATTTCCGTGATTCCCGAAACTATGGCGCGGGCTCCCGAAGTTTTTCCAAATTCATGGAAATTGTTGGAAATGTTGGTAAAACCAACAATTTCCATGATTTCTCTGAGGGGAATCATGGAAATTGTTGGTTTTACCAACATTTCCAACAATTTCCATGATTCACGAAACTATGGCGCGGGCTCCCGAGGCTTTTCCAAATTCATGGAAATTGTTGGAAATGTTGGTAAAACCAACAATTTCCAGGATTTGTCTGAGGGGAATCATGGAAATTGTTGGTTTTACCAACATTTCCAACAATTTCCATGATTCACGAAGCTATGGCGCGGGCTCCCGAGGTCTTTCCAAATTCATGGAAATTGTTGGAAACGTTGGTACGACCAACAATTTCCATGATTTGTCTGAAGGGGGATCATGGAAAGTGTTGGTTTTATCAACAACTTCCATTATTCCCGAAACTGCGGCTCCGGCTCCCGAAGTTTCTCCAGATCCATGGGAATGGTTGAACATGCTGTTTTCGCCAACATTGTCCACAGTACACATTTCAATACGTTGTTACCGAAAGTTGTGATTGAGCAGATCTTACGTACTCGTGCGAGGCGTTTTGCAGACAAGCCGGTAAGGTATTTGCATCCTTCATTAAGCCCACTAGTTTGTCCAACACGAAGCTAGGTAATTCATAGTCTCCGCTTGAAGACACTACTGTGGGAACACCAGTTCATGGGTTTTCTGTTTATCACATACAAGGCTGTACTCCATGTCTAAGATTCAAAAATTTATTACAGGAAAGCTATTGCTGCACGACCAAGCTTAGCTGGCTTGATCACCCACTTCTTAAGATAAATGTAGAAGGATCTACTTATGTTGCTTGGTGTTTGCAAGGGGGTCTTTGGTCGTTGTGGTTGTGTATTCTTTTTTAGTGTGGCACTGGAGAAGACAAAGAGCCCGTAGTCAAAAGACTACCATGTGCACCAGAATTCTGACATACATCGTTGTCAATTTGTCATCATTTGGTAGGTGCAGACTTTCGAAAACGATTCTGCGACCAATAAAATGGATATTACCTGTATGATGCAAGCACTTTTGATGAACTGCACTCGGATTAAACATGTCGAAGTCACCTGACGTGAAAAAAATATAGTCGAACTAATTAACTACAACATACAACCTAGCGTGTAACACGCAGCCCCGGCGTGTTGGATCATGTTTGGTTTGGAAGACTAACAACCCACTCTCAGCAGGTAAAAAGCAAGCAAATGTGTGACTCGGTTAACCATCATCCTACCAAGAAGTGTTTGAAGCACAAGTGTACGTATTCACGTGGTGCTCTCTGGTAGGTTATACTCAACTTAGCAGAATGTATAGAACACAGGACTCAGCAGGTACTTCATTGA